AACCCACACTATGATCTTCATTACATACACAGTTAATCATCTGAAATCTAATTTAGACCGATGACAATCATATTAGATTCATATTAACCCTAGAACTGCAGACAATATAGCTAGGATTTAAAACTCACTTAATTGGGTTAATTTAGAAATTGCTTCAGTTTATCATCAGAACAGATCAAAAAGTTCAGATTCATTTTACAATAAATCAAGGAATGATGCACTTCTACAAACAAACACAATTAAAACATTTAAACAAACTACTAAAAGTAGATGAACTACATGATTCAACAGTTTACAGAAACTTCTGATAATAACACAGGGGAAATAAACGAGGCATCTCTCCTCTCTCTCTCTCTGCTCTAACTCTCTCTCTCTCTCTCTCTCTTACCCTCTTCTCTCTCTCTCTCTGCTCTCTCTCTCTCTCTCTCTCTCTCTCTCTCTCTCTCTCTCTCTCTCTTCTCTCTCCTCTCTCTCTCTCTCTCTTCTCTCTCTCTCCCTCTCCCTGACAGCCCGTCAGTATCCAGGGTTAGTCAAAATGAATCCCTTGGAGGTTCTAGTGTTCATTTACCGTTTTGTCTTCTCTTTGCTTAATCGATTTGAAACCAAGTCTAACGTAGCTTAAACTTAACGTTAGCTTTCTAGCTAACACAACACATTCACGCACCTTTCTCTGTGGGTTTTTTTTGTAGTGACGAATGAAGTTGGATGTTGTGGTGGTCCTGATCTTATGCTGCAGACCCCTGCATACCGCTGTTCTCTTCTTATTAGCGTCATCGACAACATAATCCTTGAATCCAAACTTCACTATTTGTGGAGTAACGCTAGCCGCTGCCATGTTAACTGACACTCCTGCCGTCTAGTGGGTTGCCAGGTTTGCGCGCATGGCGCTATAATCACCCAATCACGTTTTTCGAAAAAACTAAACGTAATATCTCACTACAAAAACAAACGTAAATATTTAATTTTAAACTGTCAAGTCCTTTCAAGTCATCTGTCTCAAGCTTAAGTCAAGTCTCAAGTCATGAATACCAAGTCAAAGTCAAGTCAAGTCTTTTATCAATGTTAGTCAAGCAAGTCTCAAGTCAAAAAATATGTGACTCGAGTCTGACTCGAGTCAAGTCATGTGACTCGAGTCCCCACCTCTGCCATAATGTCTAATTGTGCATTGTATTACATCGCCCTATTTTATCTAGTTTAGCTTTTCTTGTTTCGTTGTTTGTAATGGCAGAGATTAGGGATGAATAAAGTACAACTATAACCATAATCATATTAAAGCATTTCAATCCATAGAAAGGTCTGTGCCACGCAATTTCAGTAGAAACAGGAACACTTTATTGCCCTTTTGTTTTGTTGAAATACTATTTCATAATAATTGTTGAGTATTTATTTAATTAATTCTGGCACCTTTGGTATTCCAGATGTCACACATCACAGTTTTAAATCTTTCCACACTCTACAAATGACAAAATAAAATAGAAATAATCCACGAATAAATATGTATTGGATTACATCCAAAACGACACCGTCATTTTCCACATAGCTGACACTAGCCCGCCAAACCCTGGCTAGCAACTGAAACCAGCTAGCCCACAGCTAGTTAGCTACTATTCCTGAAAAGTTCGGTTTTAACATCAGAACTACAAGTTACTTACACAAAGAAGCTAAACCGGAGGGTTCATTAACATTACCATTACCAAATAAAATAATATAGATTACTTTAGGGCTAACTAGAAAAGATACCAGAACTGATGGAGGGCAAATTAAAACATGACTGACCTGCTTGGAGCATCAAGCTAACTGAAGCTGGACTCAGACGTGCGACAGCGAAATACACCCCCGGTGTGTCCCCCCCAATGTATATGGTGAATTCGGCCCTGGTTTCTACTGTAAACCCACCTGAAGAGGATTCAGTTTTGATGTAATCTAATATATTAAACTTATTTTGAATGATCTCAGTAAAGTACAGTAAGAAAGTTGAATTGAACTCTTGCTCCTTGTCATCATCAGAGATGGTAAATAATATACTAGTGAAATCTTTATCACACTCTACAAGTTGGACTTTGTGTTAGGTTCAGCAAATACAAACATGTAAAACCTTTCACCAGCATGACGCTAAAACAGAAAGGCTTCTCTCTGAATGAACTAATGATGTTTAAAACATGTTGTTTCCACAGACAGAGAGCAGAGTCTCCAGTCCCCAGCTGCCTGTCTCTGAAGAGTGACTGGTCTATGGGGGACCCTCCATTCTTCAGTAATGAACCTGGACCCTCAGACACAAAGTAAGAGTTTCTCCTGTAAACTGACCTGAAGAGGATTCAGTTTTGATGTAATCTAATATATGAAACTGTTCTTTAATGAAATCATGTGAGCAGTTTGTAAAGGACAAACGCAGCAGAGTAAGCTAACATTATCTGAGGATATTTCAGTATGCAATTATATTATCATTGTATCTGTATATAAAATGGTTTTAACAAAACATTATTTAACTACTTGGGCATGTCTATGATATGTCTTTTTAAGATGTTTATTCATAATAGTGATAACCTGGTGAGCTGGTTGTGTTTAGCATTAGCAGATAAAACAGTGTTTTGTGAGATGACGTAGAGTCAATACAAAGACCCAGATCCGTGCCTGGCAACACGAAGGAAGTGAAGATGTTAAATTCATGTCACCTGCGTATTCGTGCAGCGTGAAACATTTCAACTTGAGTGTAAAGTTAGTGACGCTCTGTTACAAAAACCTGTCAGTGTTGAGATGGTGCTCCTGTGGTCTCTGACGGTCTGAGGGGAATCAGAGAGGAGAACAGAGCTCTACAGCAGCTCATATTCAATCAGGGTTATTCATGTTCCTGTATAAACCAGAGACTGACTGTGGTGATAACAATATAGTGACTGCTGTACTTATGACTTCATGAAGTTACTCTGAGTGTTGATGGAGCAGCTAATGTTAGCCTAGCTTTAATCAAACCGGTCTCATTCTATGCTCATTGTGTTGGAGACAGATCTGACAAAGCATTAACTCAGGCTTTTTACAAATCAGTTTCATTCTGTTGTTATTTAGGCATCCTTTCCATATGTTTACTGCTATTAATTCACAGCAGATTCTATGTTGGGTTTATAAAGCACCGGGTTAATACAGTGTGTGTGTAGATACAGGGAACATGTGCTCCTCTGGGTCAGGAATCCAGACAGGATGCTCTCTGGTTTGATGATCATGTGAAGTGTAAGCTATCTACCTGATCACAAGGGTATATTATATAGACCTTTTTTTAAATATCAAACTATAATTTGCCCCCTTGTTGTGCCTTTGGTGAGAATCAGCTCCACTAATGTAAAGTGCCTTAAAGGATGTGTTCATCTCCACAGAGGGAAGAGGAAGAGTGGTGTTCCTGTGGAGGAGCAGTTGTCCAGCTGTGCTCTGTGTCAGGACGTCCTGAAGGATCCAGTCTCTACCAGCTGTGGACACTGGTTCTGCAGACAGTGCTTCACCTCATACTGGGAGCAGAGACCTCCATCAGGAGACCCCTCCTGTCCCCAGTGTGGGAAAAGACCCAGAACCAGAGCTGGCCTGCAGACAGCCAGTCAGACCAGCTCTGTACGAGGTAAGAGGCCGAAGCGTCTTATTCCTCTTCCTGGTTCATTTGTTTGTTTTATTAGGTATTCTGTTGAAGAACATAGACATTACAATGTTTATAAAACATTTAAACTCATTCTGTTTTTATTAGTTTTATTGTTAGATTCTCAAAAGCATGTTCCTGATTCTCTCCTGTTTCCTTCTCTTCCAGCAGATAGTGGTCTGCAGGAGGTTTTAGATGAACATAGGCTCAGTCTGAGGAGGAGATGTGAACGTGTGACTGAAGGAACTGATCAAAGTGAAACCCTCCTCAACAGGATCTTCACTGAGCTCTACGTCACACAAGGTCAGAGTGAAGAGGTTAATACCCAACATGAGGTGAGGCAGCTGGAGACAGCTTCCAAGAAAGAGACCCTCCATGAAACTCCAATCAAGTGCCAGGACATCTTTAAAGCCTTACCTGACCAACAGACTCTCATCAGAGCGGTCCTGACCAACGGAGTCGCTGGAGTTGGAAAAACCTTCTCAGTGCAGAAGTTCACTCTGGACTGGGCCGAGGGTTTGGGAAACCAAGATGTCAGTCTGGTGATCCCGCTCTCCTTCAGGGAGCTGAACCTGATCAAAGGTGAGCAGTACAGTCTTCTCAGGCTGCTCCATGTTTTCCATCCAACCTTACAGAAGGTCACAGCAGAGCAGCTGGCTGTCTGTAAAGTGCTGCTCATCTTTGATGGCCTGGATGAAAGCAGACTTTCTCTGGACTTCAGAAACAATGAGGTTGTGTCTGATGTCTCACAGCAGTCCTCAGTCAACGTGCTGCTGACAAACCTCATCAGGGGGAAGCTGCTTCCCTCGGCTCTCGTCTGGATAACTTCCAGACCTGCAGCGGCCAATCAGATCCCTCCTGAGTGTGTGGACAGGGTAACAGAAGTACGAGGCTTCACTGACACCCAGAAGGAGGAGTACTTCAGGAGGAGATCGAGTGATGAAGACCTGTCCAGCAGAATCATCTCTCACATCAAGAGCTCCAGGAGCCTCCACATCATGTGTCTGATCCCAGTCTTCTGCTGGATCACTGCTGCAGTTCTGGACCACATGTTGACTACAGACCAGAGAGGAGAGCTGCCCCAGACCCTCACTGACATGTACTCACACTTCCTGCTGGTCCAGACCAAGAGGAAGAAGCAGAAGTATGAAGAGGGACATGAGACGAGTCCACAGCAGCTGACGGAGGCTGACAGGGAGCTTCTTCTGAAGCTGGGGAGGCTGGCGTTTGAACATCTGGAGAAAGGAGACATCATGTTCTACCAAGAAGACCTGCAGCGCTGTGGTCTTGATGTCACAGAGGCCTTGGTGCACTCAGGAGTTTGTACAGAGATCTTCAAAAGAGAGAGAGTGATCTTCAAGAAAACAGTCTACTGCTTTGTTCATCTGAGCATTCAGGAGTTTCTGGCTGCAGTCTACATGTTGCACTGTTACACCAACAGAGACACAGCGGTACTGAAGAGCTTCCTGAAGAGAGACTGGCCCTATAAGAACAGTAAAAACAGTGATCAGGATTACCCATCCCTGGATGTCTTTCTAAAGGGAGCCATGAAGAAATCCCTCCAAAGTAGAAATGGCCACCTGGACCTGTTTGTCCGCTTTCTCCACGGCCTCTCTCTGGAGTCCAACCAGAGACTGTTAGGAGGCCTGCTGGATCGCACAGACAACCGTCCAGAAACCATCCAGAGAGCCATCAGCAACCTGAAGGAGATGAGAACAAAAATCTCTCCTGAAAGGAGCATCAACATCTTCCACTGTCTGACAGAGATGAAGGACCACTCAGTACATCAGGAGATCACAGAGTTCCTGAAGTCAGAGAACAGATCAAAGGAGAGACTCTCTGAGATCCACTGCTCTGCTCTGGCCTACATGCTGCAGATGTCAGAGGAGGTTCTGGATGAGTTGGACCTGACGAAGTACAAAACATCAGCTGAGGGACGAGGGAGACTGATTCCAGCTGTGAGGAACTGCAGGAAGGCCAAGTAAGTCCAGATGTGATTAACTTTGTAAACTAATGTGGATCAGAAGTTTAATTATTCAAATAAACACGATATCTATATATCTATATCATTTCCCACCAATAACAGAGTTAGGTCTTAACCTGTTTAGCCCGATTGCCCCCGCCGGCTGGGGCAAACACAACAATCTTGCACGAAACTGTGTCTCAGGGCTTCTTAAAGACATTTGGTACATTGATAGGGACCACAGTTCAAAGCTACTAGTAACGATTTAGTCTCTACTATTGTGCATCAATTGACAAGCTATACATAGTTGATTTTCACAGGGCATACAATATTTAAGCCACCTTCATAACTCAAACAGACCAGATAGCTCAAATATAAGGGAGTGATGTACCGACTAACAGAACTAAACCAATAAATAAATAAAATAATAAATAATAATACTAAAACTATACAAAGACAACAAATAAATATAAATACATATTAAAGAAGAAAGGGAGCGGGGGCGGGGGGGGGGTGTCCATTAATCTGTAGACAAAAATGCGAGAGATTGGTAGAAGGTTAAGAAGGGTTGCCACTTAGTGTAAAACATAGAGGTTTCTCCTCTTAAGGAATATTTAATTTTCTCCAATTTTAGAAAAGACATAACATCGCTGCACCACTTAGCATTGGAAGGAGCTTTTTTGAAGAAGTGAAGAAGAAGAAGTCGTCTTGCCAATAGCGAAGTAAATGCCAGAATTTCCAATTGCCCCGAGTTGTATCTATTGTAATCTTCTGGGCACCCAAATATGGCAATATGTGGACAGACTTTCACAGTGAGCGAGAGTATTTTTGAGATATCCTCAAAAAACTTCTAATGGGCAGGAGAAGAACATATGGGATAGGTTGCAGGGAGAGGCTTGACATTTGTGACAGATGTCAATAACAGTGGGATATATTGGTGACAGTCGTGCCTTTGAGAAATGAACCCTGTACAGCACCTTGAACTGTATGAGAGTGAGACGAGCACAGGATGAACTTGTATGAATCATTTTAAGAGCAGTGTCCTTCCAGTGATCATCTAAGTTCACACCCAGCTCAGCCTCCCAGGCAGCCTTGATTTTAGTGGTGTGTGAGCTGTCATCGGTCAGGAGTTTGTTATACATTTTTGAAATAAGTGACTTCTGAAGGGGATCAGAACAAAGAACCTCATCCCATATTTGATATGGGGGTAGAGAGGGAAAGGATGGAAACAGGGATTTGGTACAGTGTCTAATTTGGAAATAACGAAAAAGGTGAGACTGTGGGAGTTCTAATTCACATGATAGATCTGTAAAACTAAGAAAAGTATTATCCTTATAAAGCTCTCTAAAAGTCCTCAGGCCCTTCTCATGCCATACAGAGAAAGTGGGGTCAGATAAGGCAGGTCGGAATAAATGGTTTCCCAATAAAAGAGCTAAAGTGGATGCAGAAGTAAACTTGAAATAAATGAGTACCAGATTCTAAGAGTAGAACTCACCACAGGGTTACATGTATAGCCAGAGAGGTTGGTGGGAATAGAAGAGGTAAGTAGCGCCATTGCGGAGGATGAGCCACAAGATGTGCCTCTAACTTACACCATGGAGGATGCATTGATTTTGACCAAAATGAAATCATGTGTATGAGTGAAGCCCAATAATATAATTGGAAGTTTGGGAGAGACAGTCCAGCATTAAGTCTACATCTTTGAAGAATAGATTTACGTATTCTGGGAGGGCTTCTTAACATTTAACACCCTATTAATGTGTCATACACACTTAACGGGAAGAAACTCAGCTACCTGACGATATGAACCATTTTAGCTAAACGAAACACAAGGCTAACACCAAGCCTCTGAATTAGCACTAAGCGGAAAAATGCTAACGGACTTAGCACAGAACTCACGGTAGAGATATGTTATACTTCATGCTATCTGCACAAACTAGATACTATATGAAAGCTGAGATTCCACAGATTCCAATGGTATAAGTATCATCACGGTGTGACCAAAACTCACCGCAGCGAAAGCCACAAAGACACACAACTTCACTTTACTGAGCCAAAACGGCAAATAGTCTTACCTTTGCTGTTTTCTGATCAAAAGTTGTGTTCAATGTAGGGATGTTAAGATTCACCGATTCGCATCGGTGCACCGGCATAAACGTTCAAGATGCGAGTGCACCGGTTGAAAGAGTGCACCGGTTGAAAGAGTGCACATCGGCTACAGTTTGGGTTGAACTCGCGATGCATCGATTGTAGCGTCTTTACATCGGTAAAAAAAACGATTCATTCATATAATATCCTCTCATCCTGTCAGCACTCAGCAGAGACGATCTTTGATCTTTGCTTCGCACTACGGAGGCCGAGAGTCTCAGTTATCAACACACATGGAAGTCGAGGAGAAAGAGAAACACAGCGCACCGAAAAATACCTACAAATCAAACGTTTGGCAACACTTCTAATTTTTCAAGAAAGACGGTCAACTTAAAGTACACAAGTAGTACGAGGAACTTAGTGACGCACATAGAGGCAGCATGGGGTCTGCGGCTGAAAAGAGAAACCTGAAAGTTAGACATATGAGTTCAATCACTCAGTGAGGTGTTCTGTCAGAGAGAGTGGTGTTTAGTTTACAACAGACTGTGACTGCCAATAATAGTTTAAATGTCTTCCTTACTGTAAGCAGTTATGAAATACCTGCTTGTGAAAGGTTATTTTCTTTATTGTTCCTATAGAAACCACTGCTTTCTGCTCACTGGTGAGTTAGCCTATGAATGAGTGTTAAGCACATCAGGCTGGCAGTTGTATGTGCATTGCACTATGGTAGTTGTTATTTGCACATTGTTAATCCTGGGCATCCTTAAATTGTTTAACTGTGAGGTGTTATAACATTGAACTGTACTCTGGAGACAGAGAACACTACTACACTACTACTTTTAAGGTAAAAAAGAAACAGCATGATGGGATGTGCAGTACTAGTAGAGAGAAGCAAATATGTGAAGCACTTTTTTGTTAATGTATGATTTGCTGCATATAAGGAATACAACAAAATCCTCTGTGGTACCATATTGAAGTATCATTATTTTGCATCGTGTTGAATCGCATCGTATCGCCCCGTATCGCATAATGTTGAATCAAATCGTATCGAACTGTATCGCAACAGGGGTGAATCGTATCGTATCGCATCGCCTGGTGTTTCAAAGGTATCGTTAATGTATCGTATTGTTGGTAGCGTATCGAGATGCGCATCGTATCGGCCTCAGTGATGGAGATGCACATCCCTAGTTCAATGGCATTAAAACGATAAAACGCTGCTGAAGGTTAATCCAATGTCTCTGTGTCACTTTGAAATGATTACTGATAATCCATCATCATATTTATGGCAATAAAAGTATTTTTCATATAGAGTGTAACCAGTGGCGGCTGGTGGAAAATATTTTAGGTGGGGCTTGTTGGAGTAGAATACCTCTGCTACGCGCCGTTCGTTGGATGAGGCTGGATCTCTATTAAATTAAGAAAGGAATTGAAAACACCGGAATCAAAGTTATAACAAATTATCTGAGTTTACTTCTAGTAGGAAACCAAACACATATACAAGTTATACAGAGTACTCCGGGTACCCCGGGCTTTTAGATTTGTGATGCGATTCGGATAAATGCATCGGGATCAAACCAACTCATCAAACCAAAAAGAAATTGGACTTCAGGTCTGTGATGCGATTCGGACACAGATATCGGGATCAAACCAACTCACCAAACCCAAAAGCAATTTTACACACACAAACGTCAGTATTTCTATCTGTCTTTGGGGCGGAGATTTGTCGATTCTTCCTTCCCACTTTTCTCCCAAGCGAATTAGAGAGCCCCTGGGGAGGAGCTGTTTAAACTGACCACCTCCCCCAAGTGCCCTGACTGGCTGGATTCGCTTCTGGTCTGGTTCAATCAGAGGTCTGCCCAGCATGTGAGATCCCAAGCCACCCCAGGTCAAAAGTCAATGTTTATCTTTACCTTATCTTACTCTACATTCCTTTCCCAGGGGATCTTTTCCTATTTTACGATGTCTTTAACGACTTAGAAACAGCATCTGGCTCTTAGTGGTGATAAGGATCAATGTTGGTGTGTGAAACACAGAATCTCTGAGCCAGTGAGTTTAAAAGTGAGAATAACATTCTTTTTCTAAGTGATTATCAAAACCCGTTCAAACAATACATGTTTACTTCAATACAGTGTAGAATCATATCTTTTTCCTTCAATCCCTCTTTTGATCTCACCTCACGAGATCAACATATAGCATTTGAAACATTACCACTGTCAATTTTCTTCTTACTGTGTCTGTCCCAACATTTATATAAACCCATCAGAAGTTGGGATATAGAGCACTTTAAACCTTTAGGAACAGTCCACAACAACAACTTATTATGACAGTGGAGGGAGAATAAAATATGTCTAAAAAGCAAAGTCCTTGTCAGCTGAGTCATCTTTACTCTTCCCTCAATGGTGGAACTGATGAGTCTAACACACAGTGAGCAGATACAAGGCACACAACAACAACAACCACATGTCACTAAAATGGCAATAAAAGTAGCCACAGAAATTAGAAAAGACATTATCATACTTTTCCCTCTTTTGGTAACACATAGTTCTGTAGAATAAAAAATACCAATCCCTTATATTGTGGGATATAAAAATAAAGTTGAAAGTTCCTCAAAAAAAAAATGGATTGTTCAGACAAAGTTCCACACCGGCTATATCAACCTGTTTCAGCGGGAAATGGAGTTCCCTGTGCCGTCTTGGTTTGCCATATCTTCGTCCCCCCAGCCCGCTGACGGCGGCTTCTGGGGTGCTTGCTAGAGAGATGTGGCCTGATTGTCCTCCCCCGGCCCGCTGATGGCGGCTTCCGGGTCGATGCTGGAGAGATGTCCCGATCCTCCTCCTCCGGCCCGCTGATGGCGCCTCCTGGGTCGACTGCCTTGACGAGAGCCAGATCTGTTCTGATGTCGTCCAGGGTCCTCGCGACGAGGGCCAACT